AACTTGGTGCTGAAGAAGGCGGCAGAGTCCCTGGCCAGCCGGGACAGGTGTAGGGCACCGGTCACCACCAGCGCCAGCAGCAGCAGAGGTGGCACCAGTGCCCACATGGTGGCCAGGATGTTGTAGCACTTGGCTTTGGAGCCTAAGCGCCGGGCCTCCTCCAGGTCTCCAGCCACCTTCTGGTCTCGGGCCTGCAAACGGAGGCAGCGCCGTGTCTCCACGTGCGCTTGGGGCCTGGGGTCCTGCCTCCCCACGCCAGGCAGCCACTGGGGCCAGAACCCAAAATCTGGATGGAGGGATGTGGCCTGAGGGGACATCGCCCTGAGCTCCACCCATTCCCTTCACTGCCCCCAACTGGACAGGGGTTTGGGGGGGTCATGAGGTGGGGCTGGAAGGGGCCCCTGCCTCCTCCCACTCCAGCTATGGACCCGGTGGCCACCCCAGGCCAGCACAGGCCTCCAAGGGCCCTCAGTAGGTGGCAGGACTGCTGGGGTGCTGAGACACCCACCACAGAAGCTGAAGCCAGGGGGGCTTTGTTCATAGGAACCCCAGCATGGTTAAAAAAAAAACCCTTGATGGAAGACACCCCCTTGGGCAATGCCCCCTTGACTCTGCTCTTTAGGATGGACCAGACGCCCCTCCGTGGAGAAGCCCCCCTCCCAGGTGAACAGCCCCTGAGATCCCGGCCCTGCGCGCACCGGCGGCCCACCTTGATGGAGTAGGCCAGCGCCAGGAAGCCCAGGCAGCACAGGTTCAGGTACAGGGTGCTGAACACCGACCAGATCAAGTGGTCTCGCGGCGGGGGTCTCGGCGCCCCCAGCGTGAGGGCCGTGTGGGCGGCGCCGTCGGCCTCGCGGGGCGTCGGCCCCCGGGGGTCCTCGCGGGGGTACGCGGTGTCCATGGGTTCCAGCGCCGTCGCCTCCTCGCTCGATTCCCGCTCCGAGGTGGGCGCCCGGGGCCGCTTATACTCGCCGGCCCAGCGCCGCCCGCTAAATATAACGACAAATTACAGCCCGAGCCCAGCGCGCCCCGCCCGCCCTCACCCCTCACCGCGCGGCCCCTGCGAGGCTGCGGGGCAGAGAAGGGCTGCGGGCCCGCCTCCCAGAACCGCCGCCCGGCCATCCCGTTCGCCAGAGCCCTCTCCCTCCCTCCGACCCGCCCCAGGGAGCCCACCGTCCAAAGCTGCTAGGAGGGGGCATGCCGGTGGGGGCGTGCCGCCCTCCAGAGTCCCGCCTGCAAACCCTGTTCTCTGACACCCCCATCAAAGGCTGCGGGTGGGGGTGCAGTGGCTGCAGTGCCGCCTGGCAGAGCCCCCTCTCCGCAGCCAGGAGGAGTTGGCGGTGCCACCTCAGGGCCCTGCTGGGTGCAATGGTGCCTCAGTTTCCAGAAGGGGCCGGGCCCCAGACTTAAGCTCCGCCCCTCCTCAGGACCAGGACCTCTGAAACCACAGCCCCTCCACCCTGAGGACTCACAGCCCAAGCTCTGCCCGTGTCACCTGGCCACCAGGGCCCAGCTTTAGTAACACAGAAGTCCCTGCTTCTTTCCAGTGGGAGGGGACAGGCCAGAGCAGGGTGGAGAAGGACGGTGTTAAGGACAACACGGTAGGGCAGAGAGAAAGCCAGAGGTGTCGCATGTTGGGGGCCACCTGGGGAAGGCCCCCAGTACCAGCTGTAAGGGGAACTCTGCTGTCAGGGCTGCAGGCACCTTCCAGGTTCCGATGGGCCTGCCCTCCACCCGCACAGGCAGGCAGCTGCTTCCCAGCGTCCTCGGCTGCTCATCCCTGCCCTCCCCAGCCCCCAG